CAGCACCCAAGGAGAGAACTAAAGTGACGCCTCACCCAGAAGGAGCCAAAGAGCAGGAAAAGCCATCTGTGTTCTCAGGGCCTCTGGCAGCTGATGGGGAGGAACCGACGCTCTCGGCATCTCAGGAGTCGGCAGCGTCTTCAGGGGATGGAAGCGACATCTCCTTCGGATCACAGAGGTGAGGCAACAAAATCCCAACCAAAACACTCAGTGGTGCAGGAGAGAGATGAGGTAGGAATGAGGCAAACAGAGGTGGAGTGTCTGTGTGGCTACAATGGCCCTGCCACCTCCTTGGGTGTGTCATTTGGAGCTCAGCACACTATTCCAAAAGGAATAGGCTTTGGATTTTCAGTCTAATTCCCACTGAGCTATTCTCAGAACATAAAAGGCTCTGTGTGGGCAAGGCCCATAAGTGGCATGTCTGGTCTGCAAGTTGGTGACAAAGGAGCACTCCATGTTTCATGAGAACCTGCAGCTGGAGTTGGGAGAGGATGGCACAGCACCCTGGGCAGAGCCTGATGCAGTATGGGTCAGGAGCTTGGAATGCCAGCCAGCTCCGGGCTGGATCAGCAGGGCCTGCGCTGTCACAGCTGGGATGGGGAAGTTTACAGACCCCCTGCCATGTTCTGCCTCACTCATTTTGTGGGTGCAGTAGGGGAGAGTCTGTGATCCTGGAGAGAGAAGTCCCAGGGGTTCACCATCAGGGATCTTGGGGAACTCTGGTCCTGTCCTCGATGTCCTGTTCTTTCCTTGACCTCTGGTCTATTTGGTCTTGCTTTTAGTTCTTTCGTGAATGGGTTTGAAGCCTGTGCTTTTGCATCTGAGGAGGAGGAAGAGGAGTTTCCAGCATCTCAAGCAGCAGCTCGGGAAGAAGAAAAGCTGGAGGCAGTGAGGTGCTACATCCGCTCAAACACAGCCCTGTACAACAGGATTCTCTTCTATGAGCCACTCGAGCTGGCAGATCTGCACGCAGAGCTCAAACAGAACGGCATCAAAATTTCCAAGGCAAAGCTGCTGGACTTCTTGGATTCTCAGTGTATCACATGCACCATGGCCGGAGCCCGGAAAGAGCAGGCGCGGAAAAGAAAAGAGAACAAAAAACAGAGAAGGCGACGCCGAGCGAAGGCCACTCCTCCACCCTGACAGTCCTGGGCGTGGAGGCCTCGCTGCTGAGCTGGAAACTCCCTTCCCAGGTGGAGCTCCAGTGGTGGGTGCTGGGTGGGAGCACAGCTCCTCCTCGTGCCCTGCTCCCAGAGCACATCCCAGAGAGCAGGGCTGAGCCCTCTGCTCCCATGGCACAAACCCCTCCATCTCTGGCCTGCCGTCAGCACACAGCTCCCCTGGAGCCTTTTTTCCACCCTGATTTTACTCTTGTGCCTTTTCTTTCCATTTTTCCAATAGGTTGTAGGTCCCCAACTTTTCTTCACGTTGGTGCTTCCCTCAGTGACACTTGCCATGACCTTTTCCCTGGCTTTGGGCTGGGAAATGCATCCCCATTTCACCTTCAAGTATTCAACCCACTATGGAAAGCGGTGCCCGTTTGGACCAGGGACTTCCACCTTTCTTTCTTCAGCACACTTTGCCTTGCTGATTGTGAAGGCAGGGGGTGCTGTAGAAATACATACAAGGCCTTTTTTCTGCCCTCAGTTCACTTTGCAATCTTTATAAACTTTCTAAATCTGTGTTTCTACAACAGTTGCAGAGCAATGGAGGTGTCCTTTTTGGTCTCTTTGGGATGGCTCCCAAAAGCACCCCTGACACCCAGTGTCATGAGAAAGCCCTTTAGATTGGAAAATTCAGTGGGGGTGTCCATTTCCAGTTTGGATCTGTGTTAAAATCCCTTCTGCTGCATCTCCCAAATGCCCTTTGACCTCCTTGGATTGGCCTGAGTGTGTCCCTGGCAGAGCTGTCTTGAATGCAAGATTACAGTGCCCGCTGGATCTCTTCAGCACTTCTCACACCCTGAAATAAAACTACTTTTCTGATCAGTCCCATTTCCAACCTGGACTGATCCCACTTGGAAACTGTCTGGGACTCTTGGGGAGGTCTTGGACCCTAAATTGTCTTATTCTGTGTATCAGTTTTCACATCTTCTGCCTTCTTTCTGTTGTGGCACTTTGGAGTGTGCAAAGAGTCACTGAACAAAATGGACACAACACTTCACAAAAAGAAGCCAGATTTCTACAGGTATTTATAGACTTGGAATGTAAAATTTTTATTTTTTATTTTTGATAAAGTATATCTTCAATTTTGATTTGTGTTCTGTACAATAAACAACCTGTAAGGTCCTAATTCTAAACTCTAAGTAACAACCTAGAACAGATTTAAGGGGGGGTCTAAACAGCACTGTTGGGTCTGGTTGAGGGCAGGGGGATCCACAGTCTGCACCAGGACTGGCTGAAATCTGGAGCAGAGAACTGGAGGAAAAGGAGTTGCCAGGGCCACCCAGCAGCAAGGAGAGTTGGAAAGTCAAGGATTTTGTGAGCAATTCTTTTATTACATGTTACCTTCACTGAATGCAGCATCACAGTTCAGTGGATATAAGTTATAACCACTCAAATCACATCATGTCATAAAGCACTGTTAAGCAGGAAAAAAAGCTGTATTTTCATACCACATCTGTGCTGTCGGTGTTTGGAGGTGACCACTTTGCTGAGACTTGCCTTGATTCCTCCTTACAGCTGAACTTGACAAAATGTAATTTTGGTAGATGATGAGAAAAGGATTTGAAACCTTTTGCAGCCTTCAAGACCACAAGGATGCATCTGACATACACTGCAAATTATCTGGAAGCAATTATTCGTTCTCCTGCTTCATCAGTCCATGAGCAGCGCAGGCCTGCCTGATCTAAGGTTGGTGTTGCCATGTGCCAGTGCTAATGTGTTGCCAAATAATTCAATTTATAGATATTTCTGTGGGTTTTTACCTTCCTAATGCAGGCTCATTTGCCTTGAAAGATAAATTATCATAATTTTTTATTTCCAGCTCTGTAGTAATAGTTACCAAAAATAGTTTGATACCTCGTGGTTTTTTAACACTTCCAACGCTGTAAAAAAAAAACAAGCCTTTTCAACTAGAGTATTAGTTGTTAAGTTAAAGAAAGGAGCAGATATGTTATTGGCATTGCACAAAGCCTCTGTCTTACCAAGATGCACCATGTGAGCTTCTAAATTTGCTGTGATAATCAAATGACTGGTGGGATTGATTTGGGATATTCCATGTTGGTTTGTGTATTGTCACATTTCCTGCCTGGGAAAAAAATGGCCTTCATAGGTTTATTCTGCAAAGCTGTGCTGCAGATTTCTGTGAAATAGTTCTGAGAAGAGAGTTTTCTTACACAGGCAGAGTTCTGTGTGTACTCTCACCCTGTTTAATGGCATTTCCTGAGTGGTTGTTACACAGCACCTGGCTGAGACCCTTGGAGGTTTTAACTACAAAATATACAAAATAACTACAAAATATGTTCTGTAAAGCACAGAATGGTGACTGCTGTGCCTTCCCCTTCTACTGGGCTAACACAGTCACACTTAAGGGTGCCAGTGTTTACATATGGAAGGGATAAATGCCAGAGCAATCCTCCCTGCAGTTCTTCAGGGAGACTGGAGTTGTTCTGGGAGAGCATTTCAGATGTGCTGGTTTGCTTTTTTATTATCCTAGCATAAAAATTTCTTCCAGAGGCATTGCATGTCAGCTGGTTAATGAAACAAAGTGCCTGGGAGAGGTGACATCTCTATCCCTGTGATTACCCTGAGAGGCTGTGGACTCCCTGCCCCTGGAAGTGTCCAAGGCCAGGCTGGACGGGGCTTGGAGCAACCCGGGCTAGTGGAAGGTGTCCCTGCCCGTGGCAGGGGGTGGGATGGGATGGGCTTTAAGGTCCCTTCCAACCCCAACCACGTGTGATATTTAAGAATTTAAACTCGTGCCTAAGCTCAGACCAGTCCCGCCGCTTCTTTCCCAACACTCGGGACCTGGGCGGCCCCAGCCCCTGGCAGTGCCCAGGTTGGGTCCTCAGCTCCTGGAAGGGCACCGAGCCCACGTACAGATTTCCAGAGCTCTGCTCGGGTGTTCTCTGGATACTTTCCTCCCTTAGAAAGCGCTGTTTCGATCGCGTCTTGTTCACTGAGCCTCTGGCGCAAAGGCTCTGTCTCGCCCCCGAGTTCGGCACTCGCTTTCCCCCTGAAGCGCTGTTGAGGCACCCCAAGGGAAACCCTCCCCCTGCGGGGACACCGTCCGGCAGCCGCGGCGGCTCCCCCAGCACACGGGAGGGGCCCCGCGGCTGCGGGGAGGGCTCGGAGCGGAGCGGGCAGCGGGCAAGGGGCTCTCAGGCGGCACAGCACTGCGGCCACCCAGCCACCATTTTGGGTCGCCCTCAGCGGCGCGGGCGCCGCCGCCATTGGCCACCAGTGCTCGTCACGTGACCGCGCCTCAGCGGCCGCGGAGCCGCCGAGCGGGACCGAGAGCGAGTGAGGGGCTGGGACGGGACCCCGGGACGGGACCCCGGGACCCCCGGGGCTGGGACAGGACCCCCGGGGCTGGGACGGGACCCCCGGACGGGACCCCGGGACAGAATGGGACCCCGAGACAGAATGGGACCCCCGGGACAGAATGGGACCCCCGGGACGGGACGGGACCCCCGGGGCTGGGACGGGACCCCGGGACGGGACCCCCGGGGCTGAGACGGGACCCCGGGACAGGACCAGACCCCCGGGACGGGACCCCGGGACGGAACGGGACCCCCAGGAAGAGAACGGGACCCCCGGGATGGAACGGGACCCCCGGGACGGAATGGGACCCCCGGGGTCGAGACGCGGGCACCGGCGGGGCTGGGACGGGCGGCTTTTAGCGGGGTCCGTGCCCAGCCGCCCCCCAAGGCCGGGCAGCCCCTACAGCGGCTCCCGCGGGTCCGTAGCGGTGCAGGGGGCGCGGTGCACCCCGGGGTCCATGCCCGGGGTCCCCACCCGGCCTGTCTGACCCACCCCGTGTCTCCCCCACAGAGCAGGACCCCCAGAGTGGAGCTGGACGTGATCTCCCACGTTGGTCGTAAGGAGGAGCTGTGGTTCTCCCACCTCTGCGCCTTCCAAGTGAAGACCGAGATGGTTCTGAGCGACACCTGTGCAGGTGAGGGGATGGTACAGTCATAGAATCATTAAAGTTGGGAAAAGCTGTCTAAGATCATTGAGTCTCACCATTAACCCAGCACTGCCAAGTCACCTGTGAACCTGGCGGTGAGAAAAACTTGTCCAGGATCCCCAAACCACACCCGAATGCGCAGGATTGGTGGTACCACGATGAAACACGGTCCTCCCAGCACTGCTGCTGTTCCTGGCAGAGCCTGGGGCTGGATCCCAGAGGAGGCAGACAGGCAGTGCTGTGTCCATGGATGCTTTCCCAGGCCCTGGCACTCTGTGGCTTCAGAAAGTCCTGAACTAGACACACCACGTCTCCCTATCTCAAAGCCCTGTTTGTAATTTCTCGCTATCTGAAGTTGTGTATGGTGTAGCATCTGTGGCAGCTCTCAGCCAGTACAGACTCTGTACAGGAGTGCAGATCCTTCATGTCATCCTCTGTATCTGCCTCAGCTCTGCTGGAATTTCTCTGAAAGGGGGGATCCATCCCCTCCTTGCACACACTCAGGATGTGGGGTTTGGTTGTTTTTCCCAGTCAATCATTAGCATTTGATGAGCTGCTTTGTCTGCCTGGGAGCTGCAGTTTTCATCCATCTGCTCTAACTCCATGGTGCTATTCCTGAATAATACCGAGAACATCATGGGCTCATTCAGGTATAAGTGCAAGGTATAGATGCTGTTCACCTCTGCAGTTCTCTGTGTTTACCTGCAGTGAATGTCCCCTATCACCTGGCTGGTCATAAGGCTCTGACACTGTTTATAGTCAGCCTTTGTGTCCTACCCCTGAATAACATCCACCTTCTCTTCCTTCCTTCCCACCTCGTGAGGGTCATCCATCCCATGGCAGCTTAGTTTCCTTACCAGTTTTGGTGAAGGGTGAATGTCTTTGGGAACACCTTTGCTCTCTAGATCTCCCTTTTGCTAGAATTGGTGACATCTCTGAAGAGCTCCAAGCTTCTCCTGAGAAAGAGAGATCCAGGTGATATTTAGGTTCTCTCAGTGTTGACACTCACTCTGCTTACCTGAAGCTTTTCTTGTAGCTTAGCCCTGGCAATCTGGGGCATATCAGAGCATAACCCAAATTGGCCTGGGCTGATGAGGAGCCACACTCTTCCTTTTTCTTTTGCTTATTCATTTTTGCCAGTTCAGCCCTCCTAATGCTTCCAGTATGAATTCCTCTTGTGAGGTCCTGTCTTCATGATTTTGATCTAACCCTTTACAGACAACAACCCCTTTACAGAACAACTTCCCAAGCTCCACTGTCTGCTCAGTAAATCAGACCTGCAGTTCAGGAGTTTCATGCTGGGCTGACAGAAATGTTCTTATCCTGCCTTGGGATATTCCTCTTCTCTTCTCCTACAGGCCTGGATAGAGTGGCTGCAGACAGATGGAAGTGGATAGCAAAGTTCCAGTTTCTATTCCTCTCAAGGAATGATTTTAAGGCAAACTATGTGAGGGAAAAGTAGCATCAGTGCCACACCAAACTGCCACAAAAGGCATCTCAGGACCTCAGAGTGAAATCATATTGCTATGATTTCTTAGTGACACTGACTGGAAAGAGGTAGATCAAATATGTACTTGTATCATCTGGATTGTAATTCTGTGGATTGCACAGGGGTTTTCAGAGATCCAGGAGGAGCCATTGAGTCTCTCCATGGGCAGATCTGGAGCTCTGTGTGTTCGCAGCTTCAGTCCTCACCCTGTGCCAGGTTTTGGGTCTCTATGTAGTCAACAGCAGGTCTGTACACGATGATCTGGAATCTCTTCGTTGACTGACCTGTCCTAACCCTGGATGTGATGCCTCTCCTCAGAGATGCATGCTGCCATTTCTACATCCCATGTTCCTTTCTGTGAACACTCTTGAGAAATCCACTGTAGAGTTTGGAGGGAAATATCAAAACTTTTTATACTTAATCAGGTGAATTTTTGGAATTTGGCCCCTTTTGATTTCCCCTGTCCAGTGTTTCCTGTCCTGCCTGTGAGTTTTCTCTGGATTCTCCTTTTATTGCAGCTGAGTATGGGATTGTGAACAAGAAAGAGGAGAATGCCCACAAAGGCTTTCCTGGGCCAGCAGAGCCCGAGGCTTTACTCTCAGGACTCTCCAAGGAGAACAATGCCCAGAGTCCAGCACAGGACCCACACAGGTCAGAAAGAGTTCAGAGACCTCTGGGGAAGAGGCAAAGCCGAGTGATGCTGCGTGGGAAGAGTCTCGGGAGGCCGCCAGACATCACCCAGCCGAGAAATCCATCTGTGGGGAGACTGAGGGTATGTGGGGACTGCGGGAGGGGCTTCCGGGTGAGCTCCAACCTCACCCAGCACCGGAGGATCCACACTGGAGAGAAGCCCTTTGGCTGTGCCGAGTGCGGGGGCAGGTTCCGGCAGCGCTCGCACCTCATCCAGCACCAGAGAACCCACACGGGGGAGAGGCCCTACGAGTGCTCCGACTGCGGGAAGGCCTTCAGCGTGAGCTCCAAGCTGCTCCGCCACCAGGTGACGCACACCGGGGAGAAGCCCTACAGGTGCTCCGAGTGCGGGAAGAGCTTCTCCGCCAACTCCCAGCTCGCGCAGCACCGCCGGGTGCACACCGGGGAGAGGCCCTACGAGTGCGGCAGCTGCGGGACGAGCTTCAGCGTGAGCTCGGCGCTGGCGCGGCACCGGCGCGTCCACACCGGCGAGAAGCCCTACGGCTGCTCCGAGTGCGGGAAGAGCTTCAGCCAGAGCTCCGAGCTCATGAAGCACCAGCGGGTCCACACCGGGGAGAAGCCCTACGGGTGCCCCGAGTGCGGCAAGAGCTTCACCGTGAGCTCCGCCCTCGCCCAGCACCGGCGGTTCCACGCGGGCGAGCGCCCGTACGGGTGCTCCGAGTGCGGGAAGAGCTTCACGGTGAGCTCGCACCTCATCCAGCACCGCCGCTTCCACACCGGGGAGCGGCTCTTCGGGTGCGCGGAGTGCGGCAAGAGCTTCCTGTGGAGGTCGGCGCTGCTGCGGCACCGGCGGGTGCACACCGGGGAGCGGCCGTACGCCTGTGCCGACTGCGGGGACAGCTTTCGGCAGAGCGCCCACCTCGCCCAGCACCGCCGCACGCACACCGGGGAGCGACCCTTCTCCTGCGCCGACTGCGGCAGGGGCTTCGCCGTCAGCTCCGCGCTGCTGCGGCACCGCCGCACACACCGCGCCGGGCGGCCCTCGGGCAGCGGGGCTGATCGCTGCGAGCCCGGCGCCTCTGCTTCACTGACAGCCCTGCTCCTGGAGCGGGAAGGCAGCTTATTATAGGGGAACAAGCCCTAAAGGAGAGAGAGAGAAGAAAGGGAGAGGCAGGGCGAGCAGTTGGAAGTTTGGGGAGGAACGTGGGCTGAGCAGAGGAAGGCGCTGGGGGCCGCAGGGTAAACTCTTGGGAGAGAGAAGCGGTTTGAAAAGGCTGGAATATGCCTGTTGTATTTCAGAGGGCGGTAAATGACTCTCCTCTGTGCCCGCGCGTTATGGACAACTAACAATGAACCAAACGGACCATCTCAAACACTCTTGGTTCCCGTGCTCAGACACGCCGGGCTCCCCCCTCAGCCCGCGGGCTGGGGCTGCAGCACAGACAAGCCCCAGGCCTGGTGTGCTCAGCCGCCTTGCGCGGGCTGCCCGCGTGTGCCGCCGGCCCTGCAGGGGCGGGAGGCGCGCCGGGTGTCGCTGCCGCCGCCGCCAATAAACCCGAGCGTACCGAAGCACCGCCATCATTGCTTCTCCGCCGCCATCATTGCTTCTCCACCGCCCATCCCGCCCCCTGCGCATGCGCTGCCCCGCGCGCCAACCCCCCCGGGGGCGGGGCCAGAGCCGGCCGCGTGACTTCCCGGGCACTCCCACCAATCGGCGGCGCCGGCGCGTGCCCGTCCGAGTGCCCTGATTGGCCGCGCCGGGACCCCCTCGTCAATAAATCCCGGCCGGCCGAGCGCGGCCTTTGTCCGGCGCCGCGGCGGAGATTGCGGTGAGTCCCCATGGCAACGGGGGGGCTGCCGTGAGTCCCCATGGCAACGGGGGGGCTGCGGGCCCCGCACCCTGCGGCGGTCGGGGTGGGCACGCTGGGCCGCCAGACCTGCCCGCGCCGCCTCGGGGCCGTGTCCGCGCGCTTCTCTCCGCCGGGCCGGGCCCGCGGTTGTCAACCCTCCCGGATCCCTGCCCTGTGTCCCCGCTCCGGGACGCGGTGGCCGCAGAGCCCCGCGGTGACTCCGCGCGGCGGCTCCTTGAGGGTGCCCGGCGCTTCGGGTCGGGAGCCGTGCGAGGGGCGCGCTTGGCTCTGCTTGACCCCGCTGAGCTCGGGGAAGAGCTTGGAGGGCGACGGCCTCTGAGGCCTCGCGCTGTCCCTGCCTTTCCGTTGTTGGGTGGAACAGCTGTCCTATTCAAGGCTCAGCACTTACACCCAGCAGTGCATTACACCCCGAGTGCCTGTCACCGGCCCCGCTCGGCGCGTCCCAGCCACAGCTGTCAGCGTGCTGGGACAGGCAGGGCGAGCACTGGCTCTCCCCAGAGCGAGAGCTCTTTGATAGAGTCATGTGTGTCTGTCACCCCCTGTTCTTTCTTATCCCAGATCCAGCCCTGACTGACTTGTCCCTTGGCTGTTCTCATAGCCAAGGTGAGAAAATAGGTTCCTGATGTGCTGCCTGACACAAAGGACAGCGCTCTGAAGGTCTGTGAGCTTGCCAGGAGCTTCCCTCGGTGGGGTTGCTGAGGTGATGGGCCACAGCTCTGGGGGCAGAAGTAGCAGTTGTGTGGGCACTGCTAGAAGTGTCTTAGACTTGAATTATTGCCTAAATTTTGGCTTTGTCCAGATGAAGCCTTAAACCTACCTGGGATCAGCTAATGTAGTAACTTATTCTGTGAGGCTCCATTTCCAGCAGCAGCCGGTGCCAAATTCCTCCCCAGAGGGAGGAGGAGACACGAGTCTCTCCTGCTGGGATTGCCAGGTAACCTCTGAGATGATTCCAGCCCCTAGAGTGGAGTTGTGGGGTTTGTCTCCAGCACAGCGATGCTCAGGTAGGTCCAGCCCCACTCTGAGCTCTGTGGGTGGGGAAATTCCTTGACACTGCATAAAAGTCAAACAGCAGAGGTGAACTCTGTACTGCCTGGGTGTTCATGGGTTACTGAACTTCTCCCAGGGTGCCCAAGCAACTCTGGGGCTGCCAGTCCTGCTTCCCTGCAGCAGTGCTGTCTGCTTCCTTCAAAAGGCACAGGACTATTGGGATTAAGTGTTTTCCTACCCTAGAAGAGCAGCTGTGCATCTGGGGTGTGAGGCTTGCTGGGGAGATGTGCGTGGGAGCAAAGTAGTGGCTGGCTGGATGAGGAGGGATGTCTTCTCAGAGGGTTTGAACGCTGTCATTGGGAAGGAAATGTTTGGAATGCTGAGGTGTCCTGTACCAGACCTCCTCCCCACTCTCTAGCCCTGCTATCCCAGCTCATGGCCTTGGTTTTAGCTGGGTTTCTCCCAGGTTGCTGTCCAGGCACTGTGAAGATGTGTTTACCCTGAACGTCAGCCAGGTCCGGGGTGAGCTGAGCTCCTGCAGCAAATGGAATGACATTCCAGCCTCTGCAGAGGAGGTGGGCAGCTGCCTGAGCCTCCTCCCTGGCATGTGGGACACATCCTCCTTTGCAGAGGAACAGAGCACCCTGAGAAACCAGGGCTGTGACCAGGCACTGGAGTTGCTAGTTTTGGAGTAAAAGCAACAATGTGTAGTGATAAGAGACACAATGATTCTGACTTTCCTTCCTTCCAGTCCTTGTGCAGTAGCCCAGCAGTGGGAAGGATGGGGCTGTTTGTGCTGACATGTCTCTTGAATTCACGGCTCATGGGGGAGGTGTCTGTACTAGAAACTGTATCAGAAAAGGCTGAGCTTCCGTATTTCCTGCACGTGTTCTGCCCTTGCCTCGGGCTGCAGGGACTGCTGTCATCACTGGCTGCCCCACTGCCATGGAGAGGAACGTGTCACACTGAGCCCCTGCTGAATTCCCAGAGTGCATCAGAGACCTTAAATGCCTGTCTGTGTGCTGAACCCTGCTCCCATCAGCAGACAGGGCCTCTGGGACAGCCCTTCACCCTTCTCATTAGCTGTGCTGCTGCAACACTGGTAACAGGGCTGGGTAAAGGCTTCTGGGACCCCACCAGGTCCCCCTGTGTGCTGAACACGAGGTGTGCTCGAGGCGTGGGCGGGGAGGCTCTGAGGAGTGAGTGGAGGTGTCTTGTACAACGATGATCTCGGGGCCACATGCGCGTGGCCACTGGGCCCTTGAGCCATTGCTGCTGTTAACCATGGTTTTCTGAGCCTGGTGTGGCGTGCTCCTTTAGGCTGGATGTGATGTCAGCCTGCAGGCCTCTCCCAAGGGATGAGTGGTGCTGAACTGCTCTGTAGCTCTGCTCTCACCTGCTGCTTTGTGCCGGGGGCTGTCGCAGACGTGCAGAGGCAGCACACCCTACTTCCAGGCCTCTGGCTTTGTGGGACTGTCAGATAAACTGGAACTCGTTTGTCTAGTTTCATTTTGGAATCTGCATCCCTTGAGAAGGTCTGGCCTGCCATAAGCTGAGCAGGACAGATGATCTGCATTGGCAGAGGTGAGTGGGCCATGCCCCCTGTGCCCATGACAGGCTCCTGGCTGAGCTCAGGTGGGTTGTTTGCCTCTGCTTTGGTTTCCTTTCCCCACAGTGGGCATCTCCCACTGTTTGAAGGTGGAGCTGAGTGATGAGTCCTGTGTGCTGAGCTGGTGTGAGCAGCTGTGCTGTCTGGGCAGTGATCCCGTGGACAGTAGGGCACCTGAAGGTGGTTTCCTCACCTATCTGAGCCCATGTGCTGGTGTCCCCACCTGCCCTGCCCACTGTATAAGTGAGGTGCCTGGATTTCTGTGCTCAGCCAGTGGAAGTGATACCTGCCCAGTATGGGCTCTCCAGGCTGGTTTTGTGTCGAGCCTGGGGGTTTCCTCCTTGCTTACCCCACAGCTGCATGTGGAGGGGGGAGCAGTCACGAGGTGTGATGTGCTGATCCAGCGAGCGAGCCGTTGTTCCTGCTTCTGGGTGAGTCTTGTGCGTCCTAGTACATCCAAGGAGATTTTGTTTCCTTTTGCAAAAGAGGAACTGCTTGTGGGGTTTGAAGTCAACCCTGCCAGGCAGGAGAGGAGGCTGTGAGTGGGAGCAGGAGCAGTGAAATCTGCCCTTGCTTTGGAAGTTCCTGTATTCTGTCGCAGGGAATGTTCTTGTTTCCCCTGTGAGCTGCCTGACTTCAGAGCTCAGCTGGCCTAATTCCCTGCTGCTTTCTTCCAGGGAAGCTCTGTACTGCTGTGGAAATGGAGCTTGTTCTTCTTCCTGAGTGAAGGGGAGGTGCTTCCCTTTCCTGTGACTGCTCTGAGCAGCACATTGGGTGAAACATTTGGTGGCACCAGGGGAGAGCTGCTCGCTCTTGATTTCAGTGCAGATTCCCAGCTCGGAGCTCTCATCTCCAGCCAGGAACCACCCTGAAATGGTGGAGGGAAACCAAATGCAGGCTGCTCGCTGTGTTGTGGGTCCCTGAAGTTGATACTCAGTGAGCTGGGTGCCAGTGTCAGGGTTCTCCTGGGGTGGCTGAACTGAACAAACAAAAGTGCTTCCTTGGGAGCGCCTGCTGTGCGGTGGAAACAGCCCAGAGGCTCCTTGCTAGACAGCGTTTCACACCCATCCCTCTGCTAAGGCAGCTGCCCCCAAAACCTCTCCCTGATTTTGCCTTTCAGACTGATCCCCAGCGCTGACCAGCAATGCCATCAGCCATGGAGGGCACAGACGGGGGAGAAGACGGGGATGTCTCACGCTACGAGGAAACAGAAGACAACAATGTCAGGTGAGTCCTGTCCTGCACTGTGGCACAGACACAGCCCTGGGCAAGGCAGGAGACCTGCCAGGTCAAGGACTGATCCTCCTCCTCATCTGAAAGAAGTGAGAGACACCAGTGGATGACTAATCAACTACGTGTGCAGTAAAATCTGTTTAATCAAACTGCTGGAAGGGATGGGAAGGAGCAATCTGGCAGGGCTGACAACACAGCTGTTTTTTTAGTTGCTGCTATCAAAGTGACATTTCACAAACACTTTGACCATTCGGTGGCTGTGTTTCTGCCTTCCTGGCCAAGGGAGCCAGTTTTCCATGGCTTGCTGGGCAGGCTCATGTGATAGCAGCTTCTTGTTTTGAAGGTGACTCTAGAGGTGAACTCCGCTCTGGGGAGCTGCCTTTCTTGCTTTGCAGAATACCCGCAGGTCCAGGCAAGAACATCTTTTAGGAGGTTAGTTCCAAAACCAAATTCACAAACATGCTCTAAAACCCAAGGATTCAGACCTGGAAAATGGGAAGGAAGAATAGGGTGCTTCCCAGAAGACCTAGATAGGCTGGTTGACTTCTTTGACTTGACAGGCTCAGCTTTGTGAGAAGTTAATGTTTCCTGGCTCTCCTGGCACACTCAGTGGGTCTGGGGTGTCCAAAGTCTCTCTTCCAGCTCACAGGAACGTGCTACCTGTAACAACCTAGTGATAAAACCATAAGGTGCACTTTGGCACGATTTGAGTGGGTGTAGTGTTGATACTGTACCAACCTCGGGGTAAGTGCAGTGGCTGTAACTACAAATCATAGATTTTAATGAGTTGTGGTTTGGTTTGTTTTGTTTTTTTTTTTAAAGACACCATGTGGAAACCTGCAAAACCAGTGTAATTCAGGAGAAATGTACTTTTTAAGGGTATTCTCACCCTGCTTCCTCCTGCTGGTGCCAGTTCAACCTGGGGAGTGGCCTGAGAGTCCCACCTTGCACCTTCTCCAACCTGGGCCTGGGATGTTAGGGATTGAAGGGGATCCCTCCAAACACAGCAGGGACAAGCTCATAGCTGTGTGTGGACGTGGGGTAAAAGGAGCTCTCCCTGTTCCCTGCAGCCCCACGGACCTGTCGGAGCTGCTGAAGGAGGGCACCAAGGAATCCCACGACCGTGCCGAGAACACTCAGTTTGTCAAGGACTTCCTGAAAGGACGGATCAGGAAGGAGCTCTTCAAGGTGGGTGTTGCTCTGCTCCTGGTCTCTCTGATGTGATGCAGTCCTGGAGGCAGAGCCCCACAGCCCTGGGGGCTGTTGTGGGGGTAGATGGAGCAGAGCCTCTGCTCCTTCAAGCCGTACCTGCCCGGTATGAGCTCTCCAGGCTGGTTTTGTGCTGAGCCCGGGGGTTTCCTCCTTGTTTACCCCAATTCCAAGCAGGGGGGAGCAGTCCTGAGGTGTGATGTGCTGATCCAGGAACTGGCTCCTCAGGTGAGCTGTGCTTTGTCCCTAGCTGGCCACTGTGGCACTGCACTTCACCTACTGTGCCCTGGAGGAGGAGATGGATCGCAACAAGGACAACCCCGTCTTTGCCCCTCTCTATTTCCCCACGGAGCTTCACCGGAGGGAAGCCCTGGCCAAAGACCTTAAATATTTCTATGGAGAAGACTGGAAAGAGAAGATCCAGTGTTCAGAGGCAACTCAGCAATATGTGGACAGAATCCATCACGTGGGACAGCACGAGCCAGAGCTGCTGGTGGCTCACGCTTACACCCGCTACATGGGGGACCTCTCAGGTGGCCAGGTGCTGAAGAAGGTGGCCCAGAGGGCCCTGAAGTTGCCCAGTACTGGGGAAGGGATCCAATTCTACGTGTTTGAGAACGTTTCCAATGCCCAGCAGTTCAAGCAGCTTTACAGAGCAAGGATGAATGCTCTGGACTTGGACAAGAACACCAAGGAAAGGATCGTGGAAGAGGCCAACAGAGCCTTCAGATTTAACATGCAGGTACTAAACAAATCCCTTGAGCTCCTGTGTGTGCAGGTGCTGCTGCTTTTGGGTCTGATCGGGGTCAATTCAGTCAGACAGCTCACCCAGGGAGTGGTTTGGGGCTGAGACCACCACAGCCCCTCTGTCTTGTGGGGTTGGGATTCTACTCTAAATAGCTTCTCCATTAGCTTCTGGAGCTGGTGTTGGGCAGGAATGCCTCCCATGCTCCAACACCACAGCTGGGCCTTTGATTGGGGCAAAATGAATAGGACTTCAAGATTCCTGTGGGCTCTGTGGCTCTGAAGCAGTGGGGGGAGCAGAGCTCCTACTCAGCCTCAAACAGTTTGAGTGTGTTGCACCACCCTGGTGACAATCATGTCCTGTCTCAGAGTCTGACATGTTTCCCTATGGCTAAAAATGTCTGGAACCTCTTGTTCCTCCCATAGCATTTGCCTTTCATCAGACCTGCCTGAGCTGCCACTTGCCCCAGGGGGATGAACACAGGTTTAGCTACTGGATGGGAGCTTTGATCTGTGCTTGTAGCTGGTTGGTGTGGTTTAAACTGGTCTGGAATGTGTTGGGATGTGGTTGGCTCCTTCATCAGGATCCTTATGGAATCCTGTGGCAGCAGAGCTGCAGGAGCTGCCTGGCCACTGCAGGAGCAGGGATCCTCTGATGGATGCAGTTGGCTCACACTCCCACCTGCAGCAGGATGGGGGGTGAGGAGCAGGGTGGTCCTGCCTTCTCCTGGCTCCGACTGGATGCTTTTGGGATGAGCTGTTCCGTCCTGGAGCTGTAACGTGTGCCAGGTGCCACCACAGGTTTGCGGGAAGGTGCTCCCCAAGGAGTCTGGGGGGAGGGAGGCCGCAGTGGTGCTTGCCTGTTCTCCAGATGGTTCCAGGGCTCTGGATGAGCTGTGCCTGCCTCACGTGCTCACTGTGGCCACTTGCAGGTGTTTGATGAGCTGGACAAGATCGGCAGGTCGCTGCCAGAAGCAGCCCAGGACGGAGGGTTCCCGGTGCACGACGGAAAAGGAGACATCCGCAAATGCCCGTACTACGCAGACAAACTGGGTAGGTGGGGGCAGGCAGAGCTGCCACGCGTGTGGCACGAGCCTGGCCGGCACTAACAGTGCTTTCTGTGTCCTGGCAGGCGCAGCAGGGCCCGGCTGCCCCTTCCACGCCGTGGTGGGTCTGGCCAGGCAGCCCCTCGTGCAGCTGGTGCTGGCGGCCTGCGTGGCAGTGGCAGCAGGAGCTGCAGCCTGGTACATCCTGTGACTGGCACGGCGTGGGGGCCAGGGGAGACGCGTGCCCTGTCTGTTCTCAGACCCTTCCCTTGCTGGTGGTGAGTTGGCTGCAGAGCTGGAGTGAGGAAATAAACAGGAATCCCGCGGGACTGTCCAAGCCTCCTTGCACACCGCTGTAATATGATGTCTTTAGCTGGCTAGTGCCCAGGACTGGTCGGTGTGAGGGGTGAGGATTCCACTGCAGCACTGCCCTGCCCTGCCTTGCCCTGCCCAGGCTGGGGCAGCTTTGAAGGCTAAAGATGTCCTGTCCTGTCCTGGCAAAGGCTTCACGTGCTTGGCTTTTCATCTCCATTCCCGGGGCAGTGTCTGGAGGGGGTTTCCTGCCCTGGGCTGCATCCCCAGAATGTGTCATCAGCCTCTTCAGCAGCGAGGCTTTCCCACCCCGAGAAGCTGAGGCTGTGCTGTGGGGCTGTTACCTCAGAGGACTGTCCTGTTGGGTGTGCTGTCCCCGTGCCCCACTCTGACTCCTGGTGGAGGGAGCACCCTGGGGATGGGGGCAGGACCCGATGGAGGGGACAGATGTGTATTGTGCAACTTTGGGGTTGAGGGTTGGTTGTTGGTTATTTTTCCTGAAGCCTTGACTGAAATAAAAAGTTGCAATGCTATAGCTGGGGAAAGCCAGAAGCACATCACTGGGAGAACAGGGAGGCTGGGGAGGGGATTGAGGGGGAGAAGAGAACACTGTTGTACTTGTCTCTGACTCAGGCAGTACCTGAGAAACTCCTGCCCTTGCACCCCACTGTCCCTGTTGCCTCCCCTGGGGCTTCCCCCAGTTCCTGGTGCGGGGGTTCCTGGTGGGGTAGGGAAGCTGCTGCTCTTCCTCCTCATCCTCAGCTCCCCTGCAGGCTCATCTGCTCTGGATTTTGAGCAGGAAAGAAAAGATGTACACGAGTTCAGGGTCTGTTATTTATTTACATAAAAACACTGACTAGTGCCACAGTTCCACCCCTGGGCAAACAGCAGCTGCCTGTGCAGGCTGGGCTGTGTTTGCAGACCTGGCTTCCAAAAGACCTGCCCCTACTCTGCTCGGGGGGCTGCAGGGGCAGGGCAGGAGCAGCCCCCCAGAGGCTGAGCATGACTCCCAGCTCCTCTTGCCCGTGCCTGGGAGGGTGCTGCTGGCAGCTCCTGTCGCTGCCTGCTCGCCCCCTTCCTTCTGCCCCACCGAAGTGAGCTAAAAATACCCCCTACACCCACATGCAAGGAGGAGCCCGCAGGGCCGTGCGGGGTGGGGCCCGCAGACCCCGCCGGGCTCAGGGCGGGGCTCCGGAGCTGCGGCCTGGTAACAAACTCCTCTACTCTACGTGCCGGCGGGCAGCGACATGCCGGGGTGCTTTGGCTATCGGGGCTGTCCCTGCCCCGGAGCCGGCAGGGCTGGGAGGGGGCACATGCAGCTGGAGCGGCCACGGGGACAGGACGGAGGTGCTGATCAAGGGTGCAGTGCTGCTGCCTGTCCCCTCTCCATGCTCAAAGGCAGCTCTGCCTCTGCTTGGGAAGGGGCTTTGCCAACGGGCTGGAGGGGGTCGTGAACCACCCTGAAACCCGGTGTGTGGCACGACCCTCTGAGCCCCTTCCTAGAAGTGCCACAAGGGCTGTGCTGTGTCCCCTGAGTGTGCTGTGGGCTGCTCAGGTCCCCCCCTTCCCTCCTGGGCTCCCTGTGGCTGCAGCACATCCCAGCAGCCAGGCACCCCTTGTGCTGTGGGCCTGGGGTGAACCCCTCCAGCACTGGGGTTCCTCCAGGGGAGAGGGGCCTCGCTCACACCCCAGAGCGTAATGGGGTGCAGAGCGATGCCCCCACTCCTGCAGGGCACCCCCCACAGCATCTGGGGCCTGAGCCCACTCCCCTGTGCGCCAGCATCGCCAGTCCAACTGTTCAGTGAGGACCAGAGCTCGGGGCAGGTGGTGGCAGCGGGAGGGAGCCGGGGTTACACACACACACCGCCGGCGGGAAGCGAAGGAGGGGTGCACGCGCGGACACTCGGACGGCAGCGAGAAGGGGCCGGTGTCATTCCAGTGGCTCCCGGGGCGCTGTTAGCACATGCGCTTGTACGTGTAGATATAGGCCTTGCAGTTGGGACACGTGTGGGTCACATCCTTGAAGTCATCGAACAGGCAGGGGATCAGGCAGCAGCACAGATCACACCTGGAGCACGGGAAGAGAAGAGGCAGAGAGCGGTGAGCTCAGGCAGCCCCTGGACACTCTGGGGGCAAGGGCAGGAGATGAGTATGTGCAGGGGCTGTCACCCCCAGAACCTCTCTGCTGCCCCAGTTCCACCTCCATGTCGAGCCCCCAGCCCTGCCCAGCAGCTCAGCCAAGGCCCCCAGCACTGGGGCTACCAGGACCAGGGCTGAGTGCCCACCGTGAGGCCCCAGCGTCCCCTGCAGCACCTACCCCACGAAGCAGCAGAAGAAGCCAAGGAGGAAGCTCATGAGCCCAATCTCGTAGGAGATCTTGGTGGTGATGGCTTGCTGGCAGTGGGGACACACCGTCTGCACGGGGGCACCCTGGAAGATCTCTCCCTGCAGCACCGTCACTGTGGTGGCAGCTCCTGGCGGGACGAGCACTGTGGCCATGTGGCCACCAGGAGAGGGGTAGTGGCCCGGGGCAGGGTAGTAGCCCATGGGGGGGTGAGGGCCTGGGGGTGGGTAGAATCCTGCTGTGAATGAGAAACATGCACAGGTGAGCATCTTTATACGTGGCAGGAGAGGCAGATCCTCGCTGGGGAGGTCCCCATCCTGCAGCCACATCACCACTGGGGTACAGACTTGGGGCCAACCCAAGTTGGGCCCACCCCATCCCCAGCAGCCTCGCTGCAAGCCCCAAATGGCAGCTCCTTGTGTCCCCCAAATGGCAGCTCCTTGTGTCCCCCAAATGGCACCTCCTTGTGTCCCCCCCCATTCCCCAGGGCACCAGGAGCCACGTCCTGCCACCCATCCCCACCCCCTGCATCCCCCAGCCCCTCACAGGACTCACCTGGTGGCACGTAGGGCCCGGAGCCATCGGTGGGCATGTGGGGGGGCACGAACCCCGGCTGCGAGGGCGGCTCATACGGGGGGGGCCCGAACTCGGGAGGGGGGATGGGAACCCCCTGGGGCTGTCCCACCACTGGGGTGACACCCTCTGAAAGGAAACACAGAGTCAGCAGAGCTGATAGATGGTGGCTTGGCTGTGTGGTCAGAGGGTTGGTCCCAGCAGGGAAGGGGGACACATGAGGTGGGGGGCACCGCCTTAAACCTCATCCTCTGGGCCACATGAAGCCCAAATTCACCCCACCTCACCCACAGCAGCGAGCAGAGCCACGCTTTGAGCTGGGAGTGCCTCCTGCTCTCCCTGCTGCCCCCGTGACCTCTCCTGCCTTCTCTGGGGACAGAGGGATCCGGGCACTGCACCACCCTCCCCAGCACACTGCGCGTGGCAGGGCAGGGCTGCCAGGAAAAGCCACGGCCAGGGCACTCCCAGGGAATCCACACTTGCTTGGCTCCTGTCTGTGGGACAAGGTCAGCACAACACCCCCGGTACCTGGAGCAGAGGGGGGGCCATTCTTCTCCTCTATCAGCGGTGCCGAGGGGCCCCCCGGGTAGGGTGGCGGTGGATCGTTGGACATGGCTCAGGGTGGCCCTGCAGGGACACAAACCTTTAGAAAACACCAGCCTTTGGTGCCACAGGCACCAGCCCAGAGCTGCACAGCACTTGGGGAAGGAGGTGACAACAGAAGGGGACAGGGGTGCAGCCCCGAAGCTGGACAGGCATGAACTGCAGCTCATCAGGGCAGCTCTGGGCTGGGTAGCCACCAGTCCAGAGCAGTGCTGGGCTGGAACCTGCTCTGCCAAGTGCCTTGGCTGCAGTATTGGGGTACCAAAGGTGGGGAAGAGCTGCCAACGCTGCCCACAGCCCCCCAGCTCCACCCACAGTGACACAACGCTGTGCCCTGAGGGTGGCAGGACCTCCAAGCCTGAAGTGCAAACACCAAGGCAGAGGCTGCAAACTCACAGAGCAGCTCTAAGTAAATCTGTAAATAAATCCAGTGAGCTAAGGTAAGACCAGCTGCAACAGCTGGAGCCACTGTTTTACATGGGGTACTATTTACCTGTCCTCTCCCTCGCAGCAAGAGCTCAGATGCCTCAACAGAGCAGAGAGAAGCAATTCCTCTGAGCAGCGTCGTTTGGGAGCCGGCTTCTCCCACCAAATCTGTGCAAGAGGAGAGAAGGAGTTACAGAGGTGGAGTCACAGCTGCAGGGCTGCCCTGGCCACCACACCAAACCCCCTCCTGTCCCCAGTGCAGGTGTGGGGAGAGCAGGTACCTCCCCACATGCCCCCTCGCTGGCAGGTACGAGGCTCTGTGTCCTCAGCACGTGGCAAAGCCCCACCAACACACTCTGAGATCCAAGGAAGAGCAACCACATCAAGAAACCCGATTTCCCTGTTTTCTCTGGCTCAGTTATAACGTGACTAAATCAGGAAATACAAATGAGAGGCTGCTCCCTCGGTGCTTGGGATGGCTGCCACTCAGGATGGGACAGGGTGACACTGCTGTCAGTGCCCAGGAGCAAAGCTGGGAGCTCCCCTTGTGGGCTGAGCAGCTCCCTGAGCCCTCCATCCTTCACCCCAACAGGCCAGGAGCAAACGTGACCCTGCTTGTCCTGTTTGCTGGCACCAGTGCCACGTGCTGGGCAGCCCGCCCGGAGCACGCCAACCTCCCCGGCACGGCACGGCACAGCACGGCACCACGGCACAGCACCACTCCACGGGCACCAGGCCAGGCAGCCAGGGCTGCCCCAGCCCTGCATTGCAGGTGTGCCCAGACAGGAGCCCCTGGGGCACAGCCACCTCCACCTGCAGTTCCCAGGTCAAGTGGAGCCAAGGCCTGGGCAAGCACGGAAGGGAGATCCATCCCTCCCTCACCCGCCTGGCTTTGCTTTATTCCACTCCTTTTTCCTGCTTCACATTCCCTGCCCCCCAGCAGCCTCCTGCAAGGCAGCAGGAAATCCATCAGGTCACCAGTCCATGGAGCACCATCACTCAGTGCTGGTCATGCAGGAGCACCATCACACTGATCCCGCAGGAGCCGAGCAAATTCCTGACGGGCACTGGGGCTGCCCTGGATGTCCACATTTACTGACTAATATTTCTCCCCAGAATTTCCCTCTGAAACTGTGTGTTGCAGCCAGGCAGTTTCAAAGTGTAACACCGGGGCAGCTGGGGGTCATCTTCCATCCTGCTCCTCTCTCCAATTTCTTCCTTAGGAGCCCAGGGAAGGAGAGCTGCCGGCACAGGGCGCTCCCCGGCGCACTGCAGAGCCTGCCTTCTCCTTCAGTGACCTACAAAGCTGCAAACTGGGCCGTGCTCCTTTTAGCTCACTGGGGATGGGAAGATGAGAAGGACTTAGTCTTCTGAAAGTAGCCAAACACCCCACCCTGCACACCCAGACCTGCCTGTCCCTGAGCCTGCAGGGGTCCTGGATGAGCCCAGCCCAGCTGCAGAATCCCAGAGGCCTCACCTGGGCACACCAGCCTGCCTGGGAGCTTTCCTTGCCCCCACAGGCCAGCTGAGCCCACACCTTTTCTAAGGTAACAGATCTCCTCCCATTCCCACTCTTTGAGCTGGATGCT